TAGTAACTGTGAGCAGGATCTTGGAGTCCTAGCGGACGTTCACTTAAATATGATCCAGCCAGTGATGGGATTCAGCCAGTTCTGTGGGCGTGGCTCCTTGGGCGTGGCACGGCTTGGTGGGCATGGCTTGGTGGGCATGGCAGGGGAAGGTTACGGCAAAATCCCCCTTCCCTCCCCACTAACCTGCTTTCCAGTTCTGTTCTCCTGTGCAGGGCAAGCAAAGAAGACCCAGCCGATCAGCTGGGACTCGATGGGAGGCAGAGAAGAGATGGGGGTTGGCGGGGCCAGTCAGAGGTGGGATTGGCCGGTTCTCCGAATGACTCAAAATTTCTGCTACCGGTTCTTGAGAACCGGTCCGAACCGGCTGAATGCAACCTCTGAAGCCAGCCATGTTCGGCAGCAGCCAAAAAAAGCCAATGTGGTCCTAGATTGCATTAACAGAGGGATAGAATCAAGATCGTGGGTTAATACCACCCAGTAAGACCAGACTTGGAATTGTGTGTCCATTTTTGGTCACCATAATATAAAAAAAAGATATTGAGACTCTAGAAAGAATGGGCCTGGGCCCAGTTCCGGACTGTGGCCCCAGGGGTTGGACTAGAACAGTAGTCCCCAACCGGTGGGCTGGGGACCACTGGTGGTGTGTGAGAAAATTCTGGTGATCCGCAGAGAAATGTCACCCCCAAATCAATTAATCCAGGCTGCGCGGGAACACAAGGCTTCCGTCGCCTGCATTGCGAACAACACGAGGTAGTGAGGGGAGGGGGGAAAGGGCGGTGGGGGGAACTTGCCCCGCTCACCTCATGTACCTGGCCTGGCCACCGGGCTGCTTCTTTCCACTTCTTTCTTCTTCTGCTTTTGGCTGCACGCAAGGAAAGCAGCAAAAGTCTTTCTTTCTCTCCCCCAAACTCCGCCAGAAATGAGTCTTGGGGACCCTGCAAGGCCTCCTGCTCCAAGAGGCTGCGAAGACTCATTTCTGGAAGAGTTTGGGGTAGAGAAAGAAAGACTTCTGCGGCTTCTGCTGCTTTCCTTGCATGAAGCCAAAAGTCTCTCTCTCTGTGTGTCTCTCCCCTTGAGAACGGAGCTGGAGACGGTCTCCTGCGATCCCAAATAAAGAACTATTGATCAGGAGGAAAACGGGGTGGGGGATTTTCCTGAAGACTTTTGCGGGGATTTTCCCAGGGTCTCTAATCCACAAGATTTAAAAGTATGAGTTTGGTGGTCCCTGAGGTCCAAAAGGTTGGCGACCCCTGAACTAGAAAACCTCCAAGGTCTCTTCCCACTCTGTTATTTTGTTATCCTTTCTGCTAGTTATTTTTTTCTTTTATGAGCAAAGAACTTTCCAGGGAACAAACCGCACCTTGTCCTGAATCCAAGCCGACCCCCTTAGTGAGGGGTGGGATTCTACCGGTTTCGGCCTGGTTTGTGAGAACCGGTAACTCCAAAGATCAGCTGTGAGCAAACCGGTTCGCTCCGACAATCAGCTATTGGGCCCACCTGCTTCTGGGCTTTATTTCCGCATTTTGCAGCGGAGCTGATTTTGCACAGCACAAGGTGCGTTGCAAATGCTGTGCGCGTGCTCACCGAACCAGTTGTCACACCAGTTGAATCCCACCCCCCCTGCCCTTAGTGGATGCTAGGTTCAAGGAACAGGGCTTGTTCCCGGCTGCTGCTTCTTCCACTTGCAATGAAAGCAAAGCTCTCTGGCTCTGAAGGAAAATTAGCTCCCCCTCTTCCCCCACCAGGCACTGCCAGCTGGCCTTTGAACCCTTTGCTGGTATTTCGGGCCCCCAAATTCCCAGCGGGGGCCTGACTTTTGCCCTGGCGCAGCCGGAAGTCCCTAGTTGGGGAAAAGCCTTGATAAACAACTTGGATGTCAGATAGATTCCTGTCTCGGCCGTTGCTTCATTGCCATGAATCACAGAAAAGATGTTGAGGCTTTTGGGGGAAAAATAATCATGGAAGAGCAACTAAGACAGGGGTCCCCAAACTTGGCCACTTTAAGACTTGCGGACTTCAACTCCCGGCTGGCTGGAGAATTCTGGAAGTTGAAGTCCACAAGTCTTAAAGTGGCCAAGTTTGGGGACCTCTGAACCAAGATGATCAAAAGGTCTGGAGATTAAAACATACGAAGAACCTCTTGCAGGTTTGGGGTACGTCCGGTCTAAAGAAAAGAAGAATTGACATGATAGCAATATTCCAGTATTTGAGGGGCTGCCGCAAAGAAGAGGGGGTCAAATTATTCTCCAAAGCACCTGAAGGCCGGACGAGAAGCAACAGATGGAAACTCATCAGGGAGAGAAACAACCTAGAGTTAAAGGAGAAACTTCCGAACAGAGAGGACAGTTAACCGGCGGAACTGCTTGCCACTAGAAATTGTGGCTGCTCCATCACCGGAGGCTTTTAAGAAGAAACTAGACAACCACTTCACAGAAATAGGATAGGTTCTCTTAAAAGCAGAGCCAAAGATCTGAAAATTAGGTAGAAAGCAAGAAATCCAAAGATTTCCTGCTTTCTAGCTCATCTAAATTTCCTGGCACAGCAGAAGAGCTGATGGTCGAGGGGAAAAAAAGGAAAAATAGCAACTTAGCAGGCAAGTTTGCCAGGCAAGGAGTGAATGGGTGGGTCTGGATTAATTGCTTTGGGGGGGGTGCTCTGTGGGTGACATTTCTCTACGGACCACCAAAATTTTCTCGCGGACCACCAGCGGTCCCCGGCCCACTGGTTGGCGATCCCTGCTGTGTAGCATAAAAATAGATCTAACAGTTAATTTTCCCTTTTCCCCTATGCTGTTAATTTAATGCTGATTCCGTATTTGTTTCCATTTCCATTTATATCCATATTTACAACCTAGCTACTTTTTTCATCTCCTTTTTCCCTTTAAAGTTCCCTTTAAATATTCAAGTCGTCTTTGTCCATTATATTTCTTTTTCTTTAACTTACAAAACTTTAACTTTCATTCCTATAAAGCGTCAAACACTTTCTTCTTTTCCTCGACTCCATGGATTCATACCTTTTGCTCCAGACTTCATTGTACTCTGTCTCACCCTTATCCTTAATTTCTAGAGTTAGTCTGTCCATCTCTGCACAGACTAATATTTTCCTTATTATTTCACTTTCAATAGGGGACCTCCTTCTCTTTCCTATCCTCCCTCCCTCCCTCTTTCTCCTGTCCTTCCTTCCTCCCTCCC